ACAGTATTTATTAACTCTGCCCACGTAGCAACGGGTAATTCTTGATGAGAGTGCATCATCGTACGAGCGGCTTCGACCAAGGTTCTGTTCTCACGCTCGCTTACGCCATTTTGTTGGGGTGTATAGGGCGTTGTGAGCCTTTGCCTTATACTAGCTTCTGATAAAATGCGTCTAACATTCTCATTATCAAATTCTCCTCCGTTGTCGCTAAATAATTCCGGTATCCGGCTACTTTACACTCTTGTAACATTTGTTGGAGCTTAAGCGAACTTCAAATTTATGTCGCATTAGGTAAACGTATCGATATTTACTGTAATCATCTTTGAACAGAAAGTATCGAAATTTGGACCACACATGTCGGCGTGTATAATTTTCGTAGGTATTTTAGCTCGTTCTCCGGTTCCAAAAATTTTTCGGTGTGTTTTTCCATAAATACATCCGGTGCATAATTCAGAATCTAAACGAACTTTAATATCAAGTTCCCTCTCAATAACTTCTTTGACGTGTTTCTTGTTCTGACGGGGTTTTGACGGGCTAACCGTTCATGGTAAAGTTGAAGCAAGTTATCTGATGACACGACGTTCAAATCTTGGGTTGACTGTCTGATAGTTTCGACATTGAGTTTGTATAAACGATAAACCTCCATATTTGACTCTTTTGCCAGTCAATCGTATTTTGCCATCGACTTTCAGTGAACAGTGTTCCTTTTCAGATATAAAAACACTGTTGTCTAATCTATCTTGAGCAGCCAGCCCAGAAAATTAATTTCGCATAATATCAGGTACTTACGCAAAGAGTTATCTTTGATTCTTCACTATTAATTAACACTTTCAAGTTAACTGTACCTTTTCCAAAAGCATTTACAGCAGTTTCATTAGCAACAGTCAGTGTACGAGCATCTGCAAAACGTTGGAAACTAGCAAAGTAATCCTTGAGACAGGAGACATGACTTGTGCACCATTATCGCCGAACCAACTTGTAATGGCATCGTTAGACTGCATCGAGTACATTTCTGGCGTTGTAGTGACTTGCATCAGCATTAGATTGATGTTAGAGTTACTTGATATTGGTTTTGATTCAGGCTTAGATGGTTTACCGTCTGCTTTCCATTTCTGGCATTGTCTGACTTTGTGACTAACCTTTCCACAATATCCACATTTCTTCTTATATTTATTTTTTTACTACAATGTTCAATGAGAACGCTTCTACAGAATTTTCATTCTTCAATGAAATCGAGAGTTGCGTTGTCAGATTTTCTATAGTTCTATCTGTCTTTGACATCAACAACATCCAACTTGATTTGAAAGCAAAACAATTATAGTGCATTTCATCAAATAGTTCCTATGCCGTCATGTTGGCATTCCTGTCTGTCAACGTGTCATCACCAATCACGTTATGACATCTCTCCTGGTTAACTTGTTAACCAATCAAATTGCTTTGTTAAATTGTTAACCAACATGACGGCATAGGAACTATTTGATGAAACGCACTATATCAGGGAGTGTATCCAGAATTATACAAATTAATAAAATAACCGGCAATTCACATTTTTCTGTTACACTGACCAATTATGCTACAGCGGCCCTGACGGCCGCGTCGAAATTCCTCTAGCCATTCTTAAGCTGCAAGGCAGCGCCATTTCTTCGCATTGTAGGTAACCCACAATGTTAAATGAATACTTTTACAAGTATTAAACATTTGAAATAAGAAATTGCAATTATAGTTATTCAGTGCATTCGCCTGGATAGCCAAGGGTGCGGGTTCGAGTCCCGTCTGCTGCCTGGTCCGCGTGGATTCTTTTCTAGTTATATTTTCTTTAAATTTAAACAGCAAGCAGTTACATGCTTAAAAAATAAAAATTATACCTTAGGGCTTAGAGTATCTCTAAAGCCTCGATGTCACGGAGCGAGTTTAGCTATAAGCCAGCGAGTTCGCTAGCAGCTTGTAAACTCGTCACCGCACCTATTACAAAAGAAAAACACATTAAAATTTAAATTATACAATATAAAAAACCTTATTGTACACCACAGAAAACCTTTCAATGAATACAGAGCCTTAGCCTCAGTGGCGGATTTACCAGTAGGCTGGAGCCTAGGGCGGCAGATTTTAGGGGGCGGCAAATTTGGCCTAAAATATACCAGAAAAACGAGTGACAAAAATTTTAATATTTTAGTTATCTGTATACAGGGTGTTACAAAAATACAAATAAAGCTTGATAGGCGTTGAAGTACATCATATAAGGAGTCTTCTCTAATTTTCTTAAAATATTTGCATGAAGTTTTAACTTTTTTAAAAATACAGTTATTTTTAATGATTAATAAAAATATCGATAATTTTAAGACACGTCACTAGTTCGAGGATCATTAAAAATAACTGTTTTATATAAAGTTAAAAATTCATGTAAATATTTTTTAAAAAATAGAGTAGACTCCTTATAAGATTAACTTCGACGCCCTTCAAGCTTTATTTGTATTTTTGTAACAACCTGTATAAAAGATTACTAAACCCACTGTAAAATATAGGTACTTATGCGATCATCAATTTTTAAAATATTCCAATAGCGTTTCAATATTAATTGCAATTTAAATTTAGTAATTTTTTAAACTTACGGGGAAAAGCCCGTACGTAATGTGGACGATAGAACACAAATCATAAGTTGCAATTTCAGAATAAATATAATTGTGAACTAGCGTATTGAATTTCAAAGGTCAGTAGGGGCACGGTAATAATATCATACAGTATTCTATCTTCATACAAACGGTCGGAAAGCGAGTCATACCTACGCCACTCGAGTTCGATGGGCTCTCGGCGGGCACCCAGTGGCGAATGCGCCGCCGCGCCGCAACGACGACCGAACGGTGTGAATTGTTTTTTATGCAGTTAGCCGTGCTTAAACGTGCGTTTTGTATTGTAAATATTTGATTTAATTAAGTAGATATCTACATTATTTAGTGTGGAAAAGAACAGACGACGATCAATATCGTACAACAGCACAATTGCTGTTTTTGGTTGCTTGAACTCTTCAATAACACACCCAGAGATATCATTTTTTAAATTACCTAAAATATTGGAGAGGTGTCTTACCTTTATAGAATATTTTTTATATACCTGTCTACTATTACGTAATTTGTTTCTAGTATTTAGGTTATTTTTCCATCGGGCAAAATATCTGGAATAATATATAAATAAGTGGTTAGGATGAAAAAATTGACAAACGAGCAATCTACCTACACTCGCGTTAAAAACAAAACTACATAAAATACTGTAGGCAGGCGGCCCTACCGCGTGCTAACGCAGCGCTCGGCCGTAGGCATTTATTTTCAAGGACAGGGCGGAGTCACAATACTGTATAGATAATATTACCGTGGTAGGGGCGGCAAAAATTGAATAGCCTATTAGCGGCAAATTTGTAAATCCGCCACTGCTTAGCCTAGTGTAACTGTGCGGCACGCCGGGCTGTCGCAGTAGCGAGAACTTACCGACCCGCACTTGGTTGGGGGAGAGTCGGGAGTGTCGATGTTAGTGGACTGTAGCGATGAAACTCCAAGAATCCGTTGTAAAAGAAATGCGGTGGGTACTGCTGATTTGTTGTTCCAGAGAGAACCGCTTCCTTTTTCTTCCTTAGAGCGACTGCGACGGTTGCTGAATAACGTGACGGGTTCGACACACTATTTGACAGTAATTTAGTGTTGCCAGTACCAGCAAAACTATTAGTTCCTCAAAAATTCTTTTCATGACTTTATTGATAAACAGTAAATGTAAACGTTCTCCAGTAAAGTCTGCATATCTAACATTTGATGAATGTGGTTAATTTGAGGAAAACTGTTAATGAGTCAAATTTAAATGATGTACTTATGCTGTTGCATACTTTTTATTGAACTTTTAGGCGCTTTGCAGACGAGATAATAGCACAAAGTGAATCCTATACTTCAAACGCACACAGCGGTCAAAAAGACCGCGCCTTGGGTGCCCGGCGGGCACTGGTGGCGCGGCATGTCCGAGGCTGCCCGCCGTGGATCATACAAACCAGTTTATATGCAGTAACGCAGACGGCGGCGCGGGGCGGTCATGGACTATTCACTAGAACGAACGTCCTAAACTGACCGCCTCTGCCCGTCGTGGGCATTTTGTCCGCGAAGCAATAAAGACCGCGTCTGCCCGTCGATGTCTGCAGCTGCCCGCGCCGCGTACACGAAGCACACGACGGGCAGAGGCGGTTAGTTCATGACGTTCGTTCTAGTGAATAGTCCATCACTAATAAGCGCGTGGCGCGGACTGAGCTGACCGCCCCGCGCCGCCGTCTGCGTTACTGCATATAAACTGGTTTGTATGATCCACGGCGGGCAGCCGCGGACATGCCGCGCCGCCACTGCCCGCCGGGCACCTGCGGCGCGGTCTTTTTGCCCTCTGTGTGCGTTTGAAGTATAGGATTCACTTTGTGCTATTATTCGCGGCGAAATTGACCGGCCCGCCCCGCCCCGTCGTCTGCAAAGTGCCTAACCATTTACGCAGCGCACGCAACAAAAGCTCAGAAAAGGAATATTTATTTTCTGGTATTAGCAACATTTTTCATTGATGCTTCGCTCCTATTAGTCTTATCATGATGAAAAATCTGATTATCATGTTTATATAATCAGTCAACGTTTAGGAGTTTAGCAGACGACGGGGCGGGGCGGGCATTTTGTCCGCGAAGCAATAAAGACCGCGTCTGCCCGTCGATATCTGCGGCTGCCCGCGCCGCGTACACAAAGCACACGACGGGCAGAGGCGGTCAGTTCAGGACGTTCGTTCTAGTGAATAGTCCATGACCGCCCCGCGCCGCCGTCTGCGTTACTGCATATAAACTGGTTTGTATGATCCACGGCGGGCAGCCGCGGACATAGCGCGCCGCCAGTGCCCGCCGGTCACCTGCGACGCGGTCTTTTTGCCCTCTGTGTGCGTTTGAAGTATAGGATTCAATTTGTGCTATTATTCGCGGCGAAATTGACCGGCCCGCCCCGCCCCGTCGTCTGCAAAGCGCCTTAAGTCATAATTTTTCTAATTTGATATCTAAAATTCACGATTTTCTTTTTTAATTTAGCTTTAAACTGTTTCACAGATTACAGAGGACTGTTTTATTATTGGCAACACTTCTGAAATGTCAGAGTTCCGTCGACTTAAAAATCAGTTTATTGTAAGTTTTGAAGCTGATCAAACGATAACTTTGTTGATGGTACACAATGTTTACGGGTCAAAATCACAGACCTAGATCTTATATCTGTTCCAAACTTCTCCCAATGGCGTTTGAAAAGGTAATAAAATAAAACATCTCATGGGATTTCTTAAAATATAATAATTATTAAGTATAACTATCTGCTGTTAAGACGATTAACAGGTATCTTAGTTATTAACATAGTAGATATTAATTCTACAACAAAATTCACGATTACAAGGATAAAACAAGCACATTCGTCATTTCAATAGTTTTCAATGTAATTGATATTCATTATACTAAGTCAATGTCAAAAATAATTCTTTACAAATGCATTTCATCAATTGAAATATAAAGTTAGTTCATAACAATATTATTCTATGAATCCTTTTCAAATCAAAAACAGTAAATTATTTGTTCACTCTGGGGGGTATTTTTAAGTAATCAATTAAGTAGTATTCCATCAACACGGAATCACCATGCAGTATTTATATCACAGCACTTGTAAAATTGCGTTTGTCAAAAGACTAAAATATTTATTTACAACAAGCCCATCGGAGGCGTCCCCAGAGGATAAATGAGACTCTGAACAGAGCAGTCAATAACAATCGGCAAAAGTTACCTTATACCCTTTATCTAGTATCTTAACATAGTCCATTGATTACAGTTTATCTACGTTGGCGACGACGCTTCTTGTTGGTGCGGGTTTGGTTACCGTTTTGCGCGTGCCCATTGGAGGAGCCACTCGCGGACTGCGGCGGGGGCGGCACCGGGGGCTCGACGAAGATCAAGCCAACTCTGTGGACGACATCGTCGGCGTGTCCGTTCTGTTGAGGAGGCGGTACGGGGCCAGGCGGTGGGGGCACGGGTCGTTCGGCTGTTTCCAGGGGTTGGGTGGCGTTGAGCGCCGCTCGTAGTCGCTGTCGCATGCGGCGGCGGGCGTTACGCGACAGAGCAGCGGGGGCGCGTTCGCTGGCATCAGCATTGGCTGGGTCGGGCGGTGGCACGGGGCGATCGGGGGCGGAGGTGATTTGGTTACGGGGGGCTTCGATCCTGGCGCGGACGTCGGCCTCGCGGCGGCCGAGAGTAGCGAAGGCGCGGGAGAGGCGCGCAACGTCGTTCTGGAGGCCTTGGAGGAAGGGCTCGAGGTCCTGTGAGTAGGGATGCAAAGTGAGTAGTTATATATAATATCGACCAAGCTAAAGCGATATTATTTTTAGATTTTTTGAAGTTATACTTCTTTAGGCGCGTTATGAAAAAATGATGAGAGTGAAATTTTAAGATGCGCGCGCATCACTGTAACACAAAAAATTAACAGCATGAAGTTGGTGGCTTTAGTGTTTACCGCACATTAAGAAAATCTACCAACATAATAGAAATAGAATCTCTATTTTGTGGGTGCTAACGACTGCATTGTGAAGGCCTATCAAAAGTATTTATTAATCTGGAACAACGGAACCAAAGCGCGATTCAGGAGACTACAGCGCCATCTCTTGACCATTGGTGTAGTAGAACCAAAAACCACATCTTTATTTTTTGTAATAAAGTAACAAAAAGTATTTATTAATCTGGAACAACGGAACCAAAGCGCGATTCAGGAGACTACAGCGCCATCTCTTGATCGTTGGTGTAGTAGAACCAAAAACCACATCTTTATTTTTTGTAATAAAGTAACAGTTATAGGTATTCATATTTATAATATTTATCCACATGTTAAATTATATTCAGTAGCGATTTTAATTGAATATTTTGATTATTTATTTATTTTTTCAAATTAAAACTGAACTTTATTGACTGTGTCCTTTTCCAGGCTTTTTATTAATTTATTGTAATTAATTATTTGCATGCAATTAAAAACTAATTTTAAACGATGCCAAAGAAGGATAACTTCTCACGCGCCTACATAAGTACACGCACCCATTTTTTTTTAGCTAGGGATGCAGTTGTTGTGCAATATATATATATATATCAAATTCAGATAAATATGCGATGTATCGACCATATCAACGCGATATTTATCGATATTTTCAGTATCGTTTGTAGCTGTAGCAGTAACGCTTTTCCTACAAAACTGTAAAGCTCTGTAATAAATTAGCGAAATAAACCATTATAATTATTTTTAATCTTTTTTCTCCTTTTCAGTCAGTAAAAAAATTACAACACAATCATATCAGGTACCCACCAAAACAAACTCACAGTTAAGATTGTAGTGTTCGCTTCAAAATTATAAACTATATTTATACATTGTATGGCTTTAGGCTTAGCAAGTTTAAAACGTAAGTTTTAGGATAACATAATTTGCATTCATTTAGATTTAGATGGTAAATATAGCACTCAAAATAAATACGTATAAATGTAGCTTTCTCCCAATACCGATATCATCGATTTCTCGATAATATCGTTGCAGCACTACCTGTAAGACGCGATTGTCGCGCGCATTGCCGCGGCTAGCGAAACGCAGTAGGGCGCGGGGCTGCGGTAGATGCAAAAATTATTCGGATGGGATGCGTCGCATTAATAACTTGCCGCTCATGGACACGGGCGCTGTGAGCGGGCGCGCGCGTCCAGACCCTACACCACAGACAGTGGCCGCGCTTCTTCAGGAATTCAATATATCGTTGCAACCCTACCTGTGAGACGCGATTGTCGCGCGCGTTGCCTCGGCTAGCGACACGCAGTACGGCGCGGGGCTGCGGTAGATGCACCAGCTGTTCGGGCGGGGTGCGCCGCACGGATAGCTTGCCGCTCATCGACACGGGCGCTGTGAGTGCGTGCGCATCCAGACCCTGAACCACCAGACAGTGGCCGCGCTTCTTCAGGGATCCCTCGCACGACCTGACTGACCACACCTGCGTTGAGAAGAAAAAAATAATAATAAGACCGGTCATACACGGACAGTGTTTACGTACGCCACCGCGATGTGCGTAGTTGCTGATGAGCAAGGAAGATGTCGCTGGTGGTACGGAATGTCGGTAATGTACAGTGGGACCAAGATCTTGCGGCGCTTGGCCGACATTTTAACTAATTTTAAGGAGGTATGATATAATGATTAACCCATTTATTTAAAATCCACATAATAGTTATAGTATTTTATAGGGCAAAACAATTAGTTTGTAGTCATAATATCAGCTAGATTTTGTTACGATAGGTTTATAGAATAAAAAACTATGTAATTAGATAAGTTTTAAGTCGATATATGTAAAATAAGCCCGAATATTTAAAATAGCATAGTTAGTACAAGCGCGTTGTGCGCGGTCCGCACGAGGAGCGCGGGTTGCGCGGCGTGGGGGACGCGGTAGCGTGACGCGAGCATGGTCGCGTGGTGGGGTCGAACTATAATATCGGGCGCAGAGATATTTGTCTGCCACGGCTAAAATAACACGTTTCATCATCATCATCAACCCATGCTCGTCCACTGCTGTACATAGGTCACCCCTAATGCATAGTTGCACTCAAACAATTATTCAAACTGAATGCCAAAGATAATTCTAATATTGTTAGTTTCAAATAAATATAACAGATACTTACACAATCCGAAAATATAGCCTCACGATCGTTCCCGGAAATAGTGACTGTGTAACTGAATTCGTGAGCTACCCACGGCGATGCAGCCATAGCCAGCCAAGCACAAACAGAGTCATCTGAAAATAAGAAGAATAACAGGTATAAATATTTTCATTTTTTAAAACTCACACGATTTACTTTTATTATTATGAATACATACTACTTATTTCAATTATCAAGAAGAATATGCCCATATCGGCAATTCGGACTGCTGTAGCAATTCTTCCAGGTACAGTAGAAAATTGCCAAGCTTGAACATACTCCCCATTTTCCGACTGACCCTGAAATAAACAGAATTATTTCAATGATCAAATTAACTGAATTACAGCTATGACAATTAAATGTATACATTGTAACAGAGTGTAACGTATTTAAAATGTCACATGAGTTTTATTTGGTCAGCTAAAACTGTATTTACTCTAAAGCCTTAAGAAAAATTTTCAAAATTAGTATTAGAAAAATTAGTCTCAATTCTAAAGTTAATATTTAGGTAATTGCAAATTTAGAACATACCTACTAAAAAGACACCCAAAGTTAGATCAGGTTTAAGTTATACTCCACTTGCGATTAACAGTCCAATGACTTGTAAGTTTAGAACATAATAAAAAGACACCCAAAGTGAGATTGGGTCTAATTTCCATCCCCCCTGTGATTAACAGTCCAATGCCTTTCCGGCGACTTTATACAGGTAGGTCTGTCGCCCCGAATATTATTCAATAATATGAAATACAAATTTTTTTATAAGACAATATTTTATTTACCTCAATAAGTTCGGGAGCATGGAAATATCTCAGGTGGTTCAGCAGACGTGCAGCAGGAAGCCGCTCTCCATTTCCATTTTTGCAACACAAGCAGCGGAACAAACCCTTACACGCTTGAGGAGCTCGTAGTAGTATGAGCTGAAAAAATTTACCATTGTAAAAAGATGCTATAATTCAGCATTAACAGAACAATCACAGTTCATTCATACTTTCTGCTTTCACACACCCAACATTCAATACAGATTTTGTATTGAATAATTTAGTAACAATTTACTTTAATAACAAGATTAATTAATAGAAAGATGTATTAGCAATTATAAAACACGTACATATTGCGAATGACATTTGATTGTTATTGATATAAGAGTAACGTCACAAATCGGAACCAACATTGTGGATGACAAGACAAGACCTTCTTTCATCCTTCATGTAATTTCTTTAGATTCTTCATTACTATCACTATCCCATGTAATGAAAGCGTCTAACTTTTAAACTATACTCACAGAGGATGACTCGAGGTTGCTCTCTTCCTCGGTAGTCTCACTTTCAGGTTCCGCTGGCGACACACTACTGGCCGGTGCACTGCTCTCTACAGCTTCGGCGCCAGTAGTTACCTTTCCACCTAATTTCTACACCAACATAAAATAAAATCAATTAAATATCCCATGTTACTTGGTACGTCAAGTGTTACTTTGCAAGTACTTACAAAAGCGCGCAGTTTTCTAACGTTTGCGATGAGCTCTTCCATCGCGTAGTTGCGTGTGCCAAAGAACAGGGCACGGCAGACAGGGCACATGTCAAGACGCATCTTGCAGCGACCGCACACATGGTGGCCCTCGTTGCACTGGAAGATCTGACCCGAAGGGATCTCGTAGCACACGGGGCATTGTAACAAATCATCGAGATCCGGCAGTGCCTCCGTCTGCAAATTCATAAGAATATCCCCACATTGTTAAAAACTTCATCATAAATTATAATATTTCATATTTTATGCATTTCATTGCCACCATAGATTACAATAACGTGGTAACTGGTAACGTTTGCGTGTTTGTATTAGATTTCGCCCAATCAAAAGAGAGAATAAAGACTATGACCGGAGTACCAACAGATAGTAAACGTCTGTTTGCTCCTAATTGTTATTGCTTATTGTTACGGTTATTGAAAGGTGAGGTCCTGGTTCATCTAAACCAATGATCATAATACCCACAACCACATTATTCGGAAAGTCGGAGAAAAGGTGAATGGACTCTGTTTGACGCTAAAATGGTAGGCTTGATTTTTGGTACCATTATTTATTTCGATATATTCAGCAAATTCCACAGCCGCTAGGCTGCCCGCGACTTCGTCCACGTCCACGACATCATTAGTTTTTTGAGAATCCTACAAGAACCTAATATTGTTCTGAAATAAAAAGTATCCTGTGTCCTCAATCCAGATATAAACTATACATGTACTAAATTTTATCCAAATCAGACTGAAAACTAGATGACTTACGCTGCTCGAATCGCGAATCAGTAGTGCTTCACTCAATTTATCTTTTCTTACATACATGTATATATATATATATATATATATATATATATATATATATATATATTTACATCTTCTAAGACTTCTTGCATCTTTACAAACTGCCACCCTGCGGCGTCCACTGTACTCGACGCGATTTTGAATGTTTTAAATGCGTATTTAAGTAGCTATTATTATTATAATTTCTTGAGTCTACGCGAAATTGCATTAAAATATAAAATGCCAATATTCGATTTTAATATTTCCCGGTAATTTAGCGCATCCGTTCACCACCATAACGATACAGCACACTGAATATTTACGTATACCTTCTATGCACTGCTTAAATGCTCCTACCTCCGTCCAAACTTATGTTTAAATTGATTCTGCATAATACGATTTATTTTTACAAAGTTACGTCCCTCAATTTTTAAAAAGAGAGTTGTTAGTTCCGGTACTGTAGGTACTGTATATCAATAATATTCATCCTGCTAGTCCACCGGCTTCCAGGTACACCAGCACTTATACTGTCTTTGGAGTAGGAAATAGGTAGCTACAATTACTTATTTATGTTTAAAGCTTGATCGTTATTTTTGAGTTTTACACAGGTCAGTCGGGTAGACAGGGAAGTTCTTTTTTTATTATATCTTAAAGTTTACATTGGTCCGTACCTTATTGTCTTTATATTTTTATTCATTAAAGTCATGATCATATTTAAGATAACTTTTTTAGCTCGGCTGGTCTGAAATTTCAAGAGTACCGGTGAGATTCGGGCTTGGTTGTCCCTTGACCTTGTATTTTACGGATCCAACGACAATATAGTCGTGCTCTGTGTACATCGTCAACAACGGAGTCGGAGGGATCCACCAAGGATAACTTAGAATACTGTCCGTTCCGGTGTCTTGCCTGATGCTGGTACTGCCAAGAGTTGTCCAATGGCGATCTGTAAGGTTTTCAGTGGGAAGGCTTATGATCAGACACTGAGCTTGGCCGCAAGTCTAGGTGTATTATTCATTTTCCCAATGTAAAAATTAGTCAGGTTTAATGTGGGTATCCGTAATAAATCCTTGTATAAAGGTAATTTGAAAGCAATACAAGCTACCCAGCCTTGTCGTACCTAGGAAAGATAATAGTAGTTAGACAATAAGAAAAGTTGGTGTAAATAGACTAATTCGAACTAGGTAGGCTCGAAATAAAGAATAAAAATATATAATGGAAAACAACTTCATGAATTATCTCTGACCTCATTTTTTAATTTGTTGACTCTGTATTAAAATAATACCTACAGGGTGATAAAACAACCTCTTGCTGAGTTTCTTGCCGCTTCTTAGTACAAGGTCCCCCGCCGTAGATTTGTATGGGGAGACTTCTTGACGTACACAGGTGCCGAAAGCCTGAACTAAATAAAAGATCTCACCAAAACATTTTCATGAAAAATGTTGCCAAGACGGGATCATGTATCACTCGCACGGACAAAAAGTTATCAGATCGCACGTAGAGCCATGCTTCTATCTCTACACGCCCTAACACTAAGACCAATTTTATCAGTGCGGTGACAGAGAAAGAATACAACTCACCGTCCCTACTCTTCGCGTGGGTGTCGTAAGAAGCGAATAAGGGATATCGGAGCTTCCTTCCGCTCTTCTGATGCTAGGGTGCCTAACACCCGCCGGGTTTGTTACCACCGTGCGCATGGTGAAAACCCCGTTAAGTGCTTATCGCGCGTTTCGGGATCAGCCAGCGTATAACCAGAGCTCGAGTGGAGGTTGTCGCGACTGATTTAGTCCAGGGGAGGCATCCGTCGAACCGATGCCGGGAGGACTGCATCGACCCGCCGGCCAGGGAGACCCGCTGGCCGCCCGTGACACAGTACAGGGGCCCGAGCGTTCCTAATCAGTTCGTAAGGCTGCCCCATCATGTCACGCATAATCTCGGGGTGGACCGTCGTACCGGTTGGTGACCGGGGCGTGGGGTCCCGGCGGCCACTCCGGTGGCCGGTGCGGGACCCTTCTGTCCGGCGGGTCGGCGCATCGACTCTGCAGGCAGTCATTCGGGAAAACAAACCTCCCTAATTTGCCCGAACTCTTCGCGACGACGCCCGCTCGTTTTCACGTCTCTTTTTCAATTCCACCATGGCAGCCTCTAAAACAAAGTTTGGGTGTATAGCGGTGCATACCCCCACGCCTTCAATGCTGTTTAAGGTAGAGTTCTGCAACATACGCGGACTCCTCTCTAACCTCAACGCTGTCGACCACTATCTTGAGACAGCACGCCCAGCATTGTTGACGAAGACACAAATACTTCCGCCTGCTGAAACAGGATACCTTAACTATCCTGGCTACGTGTTTAAAGAGTCCTTTAAAGCGGAAGCCGGTGTATGCCTGTATGGTCGGGCGAATGTTTGTTGTTGCCGTCTCCGCTGCTTGGAAGATCCCTCCTACTCCATGCTGGTGGTACACGTCGACTCTGGTCCCCCAGGCCAGAGTCTACGTGTGCCTCTACAGATCCCATACTCGCGATGTTGAGACAACTCGACTTTTCGAACACCTTAGTCGGGCAGCAGATGACGCGCAAGTACAATTTCCCAAAGCAGAATTGGTTTAATGCTCACCACAATTTTAAATTGTGGTTAAGTTCCTCTAAAACCAACCATGTAGAGCTCTGCTCACGCATGACTTGAAGCAACTGGTCGATCAGCCCACCAGGATTCCAGATATTTCAAGTCAAGCACATTTATTGCTGGGCCTTCTGCTCACGACCAATCCACAGGGCTGTCAGGTTGTAAGGGGGCTCTGGGCTCTTCGAATCACTGCCCGATATCTACCAAAGCGCCACAGGCCAAACCTCCGCGTCCAACGGTGGTACAACGCCGGATCTGTCACTATGGGTCGGCAGATTGGGACGGTATGCGTGACAACTTTGCGTCCGTCCCTTGAAAGCAACGCTGCTTCAGTGACAGGGACCTATCGGCCAGCGCCATTTGCTATTCTGAGGAGATTGTAATGGTTATGCAATACCATATTCCTCATTCCAATCTCATCAGTAAGGACATACGTAACCTCTGGTTCAATCATCACTGTGCTGAAGCTGTTTCGCGTAAGCCGGCGGCATATCGTGCTTGGATCAGAGGCCGCGCTCTTAAGGATCCCGGGGTCGATTCACTAAAAGCAGTCTATAATTTTGCTTCCAAGACCTGTAAGAAGGATTACAGCGGATGCCCAGCGCGTTTCACGTGTTGGTCACGAACTTATAACGCATCCTTCCGGCTCCCGTAGCTATTGGCGTTTGGCCAAGGCCGTGCAAAAGAACTTCTGCCAGCCCTCGCTGCCACTGCCACCTCTGAAATTCCCTGACGGAACACTAGCTCTTAAGCCACGGGAGAAAGCCGATTTACTAGCAAAACTCTTTGCGGCTAAAATCGATATTTGCAATGCACTGCCACCATCATTACCTCATTGTGGCACAACGATGCCTGATATTAAAATCAGGGAGCGTGAGGTTCGTGTCGAATTGCAATCACTCGACATGCGGAAAGCTGGTGGACTTGATGGCATCCCATTAGTAGTACCAAAAAAATGTGCAGCGGAGTTGTCTTCCGCTCTCACCCCAGTATTATGTAAAGTCCTAGAAAAGGTTCTTAACAACCATCTGACCCGCTATCGAGAGGATCAATCCCTGATTAATGATCGTCAATATGGTTTTAGACCCAAACGATCGACGGGTGATCTTCTAGCGTACTTGACTCATATCTGGGGTGGAGCTATCGACAAGCGTGGCGAGTCGTTGGCTATCAGCCTTGACATTGCCAAGGCGTTCGTCAGGGTCTAGCACAAAAGCATTCTCACCAAGCTTCCGGCATTCGGTCTGCCGGCAGAGTTCTGTTTATTTATTTAATTCCTTTTGGGAATATTCATTGCGATGCAACGATAGTACAGTGCATGCGGGGTATCACGGGCAGGCGGTAACCAAGGAGACACGGGAGAATCTTGTCATTGAATTCAATCAGGCTTTGGACCATATTTCTGAATGGGGTACCAGGTTTGGTTGAGTTCAATGCTAACAAAACCCAGGTCTGCGCTTTCACGGCAAAAACGTCGCCATTCCTTACATGTCTTGGAGACCTGAACAAGGTGCGGCGTTTTTTCACGCCCGAGCAATTTAACTGTGCTTGTTGTATAAGGAGCAGGTGCGGTCTTGCGTAGAATATTGCTCGTAACTCTGGGATGACTCCGCCAAGTACTTGTTCGATGCTTTGGATGGGTTACAGCGGCGCGCGATCCGCATTATAGGCGATGAAGAGGTGACTAAACACCTAGAGCCTCTACAATTACGCCTTGACGTGGCGTCACTAAGCACGTTCTATCGTCTGTACCACGGCGAGTGTTCTGAGGAGTTATTCTCTCTTATTCCACCTTCCCCTTTCCTTCATTGGATCTCGCGCGCTGATCTACGTTGTCACCAACTGACTGTGGCCACAATTCCAACGCGTACAAAGAAATTTGTTGACTCATTTCTTTGTTGCACTATCCGTAAATGGAATGCACTGACCGCTAACGTATTCCCTCCCTCTTAGAACCTGGGATTCTTTAAAAGAGGCGTTAAGAAGCAACATGCAGGCCGGCAGGGTGAGGATGGCTGGTGTGGTAGGTAGAACTGCTTTATCAGCTATCTTCGCGTCTGGAATTCACCGTTACTTATATAATTCGAGATTTTTTTATGAGAATAAACCAAACCCCTAGTTATAAAGGTCCACTAAAATGACGATGCCCTTCGGGAAAAGTTAGGTGGAGCCCTTGCACTTTGCTTGTCTTGTCGTGTTGGTGGGGGCACGGTTGCGTTGATATTGAATTCGAATTTTGAATTTGTATAAGTTATAGGGAAGGTGAATACCTGTATACATACTAAGTGATAGTGAAGAGGTAAGGTTAATTGGGATATCATAAAAAAATCAATGATACAAATTAGCAAATGGTGCATAGAAATAAGCTTAAGTTAATTTCAGTGACATATTTAACAAGTTTTCTAGATGTGATATTATAAATACAAAGGCTGAACAATAATACT